AAGTAATAAGCAATTTTGGAATGCCCATGGGGCCTTTTAGGTATTATTGATTGAATATGTGCTTGATATTCTATCAATTCTTGAAGTGCACGATTTGACACTTATTCACTAATGCAGATTGGTTGATCTTGTTGGGTTTGGCGTGGCGATTGCTACTGGTATTCAATTCATTGAGAATTTTTCTGAGAGAACTTATAAATCAATGCTCATTCCCCTTCTGCAAGAAGATAAGAGAGCTGGTAGAGATAAACTCCCGCATCAATTGGAATTCTGGCAATATTATATCTTTGTGGAAAATGTTTACATAACAATCATATGCTCCATTTTGTTTTATTAAACTAATTCGACTATCTTTAACACTTGCTTCTAACAGGTGAAACAACTCGGAAAGGGTTTTATTTGTATGATGATAAACGCAAGGCTAGTCCTGATACTGAATTGAAAAACTATATTGAGAAGGCTAGGAGCATTACTGGTGTCTCCGTTGATCCTAAGGTCTTTTAACTCTCCCTAGTTCATAGCATATTTTTGGATAGCGAGGAAGTACATTTTAAAGTCAAATTTCATTGTAAATTCCTCTGGATATGATGTTCTGAATCTCAACCTGCACAGCTTGTAAAGATACAAGAAAAGGAAATCATTGAAATGATATTCTTTCCTGTGGTGAACGAAGCTTGTCGGGTCCTTGGCGAAGGTATTGCAGTCAAAGCCGCTGATCTCGATATTGCCTCTGTCATGGGCATGGGTTTTCCACCTTACAGGTTTGTCTTATTCTTTATTTGGCACTTATCAAAACTTTGTACTCTTTCTAAATTTTGGGATTGATTTCACCAGGGGAGGTATCATATTCTGGGCTGACAGTCATGGATCCAAGTACATATATTCAAAATTGGAGAAATGGTCAGAATTGTATGGAGAATTCTTCAAGCCTTGTGCCTACTTGGCTGCAAGAGCTGCCAGAGGAATTCCTCTGGTGAGTAACCTAAGCTCATTTTTTTTTCATCTCATCCATGCAAAACTTGTCGTGTTAATCGAGAACTATAAATAACTTAAGGTAGTTTTGAGATCTAAAGAGCGCTTTACTAATTCATTGCATCAGCGATCACAAAATCAAGATCGTCTAATGGAATTTGTCTGTACTTGGTAGTTAACTATTTTAATCAAGATCTGAAGCCCTAACTTGTCTTGTTTCATTTATTAAATGATGATTGAAACCTAAGTTTATGCACTTAAGAAAATAACCAACACGTTCATTAGTACTTCGTTGGAGTACAATATGCAAGATTCTTTCTGTCCATTGACGGTGCTGTACACTTAATAGACTGTTATTTAAAAGAAAGTGTTGTTTAAAATAATAAATATATATGGTGTTTTTAACATTTTCCTTCTATGTGTGATAAATCCACATTCCTGTTTAGATTATAATTGCTTTGTGTATAAAATAAAAAGTAACATAGATAAACAACAAAGTATAAGATAAAACTGAAAAAGTAAGGGGTACACAGACGTGGAGATATAATGTTGCTGTCTGCTTCTCGAATTTAGCAAGCTGTCTTTGTAGATAATTATGAGTCTCTTTTGCCATTTGTATTGCCCTGTGACGGATTTTGTACTTTTATATTGCAGAGTGCCACAGTGGAGCAGGCAAATTCGCGGTTGTAGGAAATGAATAGTTCAATAGGTGTTTGCTTGATGGAACGTTTTTCAAATGGTAGGAATATAGTGATGACTTAAGAAACAGCTTAATTTATGATGAGAAAATATTTAAACAGCATAATTGTTTGGTCAAGATAAGTGTGTTTGTTTGAGACAGCTGAAATAAATAAATTTTGTTTATTATTTTAGAAAATTAAACTGATTTTTTTAAAATCTTTTGAAAATAAGTTTACATATATAGGAAAATCTGAAATTTATGATTGTTTTTGTATTATCATGAAAATGTACAATTTTTTTTTAAATAAATTCATGTTTCTTTTGTAATTTACCATGTAAAAGTCATATTTTTTGTTGATGTAGAAAACATTATTATTTTTAAGTTGTCTTTTAGCAAATTCATCCACACAAAATTTGTTTAGATCTTTTAACTTTCTGTAATTAGGAACAGAAAATAATAATAATAATAATAATAATAATAGACTAATTAGCAGAAGATCTTTATCAGACAACTTATTCAACGTTCAGATTTCTAAATTACAAATGGAACAGTTTTTACTTTTTAACCTGAGATTGATGAATGTTTCCCATCACTGTCGATACCTGTCACCACTGAGGTGTTACTTGTCCAACCAAACACTCGAATTATCAGACCTTAATGTTCCCTGATGAAATCTCAGAACATAACTCAGTGAAGACAAGGAGGTTGGTGAACTGGTCATGAGACTTACAAAGAAAAAGATGAAAGAAATGAGAGTGTTTTACAAATTTGTGAAAAAATGACAGAAGAGTGGTTCTGGTCACATACAGTTATTTGGGATTTATAAAAGAATGTGTCTTACTTTAATCGACATATTATATGAGTGAACATTGATGCTTGATTTCGGCTGGCATTTTCTAAGATTTAAACTTGATTAATTTTAAAATAATTAATATATAAAATTTTAAAAAATATTTAAGTTTTTTTATTGATAATATTTCATAAAAATACATATATTTAAAGAATAACTACATTTTTAATATGATTTTATAATTTTATATAACTAATTTATTTTAATAATATTCGTTTTACCAAGAAAAAAATTATTGGTATCACATTAAGCAAAATGATTAAAAATGTTAAGATCAGATTTGTTTAAATGAGCAATCAAAACCATTACTTTTCCACCTTATTGGGTGATGTATGCTCATATGAAATACAAATAGTTTGTATGGTCATATGAAATACAATTAATTTAATAATAAAAATACATTTAATATTTAAATTGATATAATGAACATTTTAATTTTTTAATTTCAATTTAAATACATTTTTAAATTATTATAATTAAAAATCAATATTTTAAATTATAAAATATATTAAAGATAGACAAGATGTGTATAATTAATCATCTATCTAAATCAATTGATCATGCACCTTATAATTTGGAAGATTTGACTCAATCCATACTTATCTTCATCAATTGATCTAATTGAACTATGCACGTTTATNATGAATGTTTCCCATCACTGTCGATACCTGTCACCACTGAGGTGTTACTTGTCCAACCAAACACTCGAATTATCAGACCTTAATGTTCCCTGATGAAATCTCAGAACATAACTCAGTGAAGACAAGGAGGTTGGTGAACTGGTCATGAGACTTACAAAGAAAAAGATGAAAGAAATGAGAGTGTTTTACAAATTTGTGAAAAAATGACAGAAGAGTGGTTCTGGTCACATACAGTTATTTGGGATTTATAAAAGAATGTGTCTTACTTTAATCGACATATTATATGAGTGAACATTGATGCTTGATTTCGGCTGGCATTTTCTAAGATTTAAACTTGATTAATTTTAAAATAATTAATATATAAAATTTTAAAAAATATTTAAGTTTTTTTATTGATAATATTTCATAAAAATACATATATTTAAAGAATAACTACATTTTTAATATGATTTTATAATTTTATATAACTAATTTATTTTAATAATATTCGTTTTACCAAGAAAAAAATTATTGGTATCACATTAAGCAAAATGATTAAAAATGTTAAGATCAGATTTGTTTAAATGAGCAATCAAAACCATTACTTTTCCACCTTATTGGGTGATGTATGCTCATATGAAATACAAATAGTTTGTATGGTCATATGAAATACAATTAATTTAATAATAAAAATACATTTAATATTTAAATTGATATAATGAACATTTTAATTTTTTAATTTCAATTTAAATACATTTTTAAATTATTATAATTAAAAATAAATATTTTAAATTATAAAATATATTAAAGATAGACAAGATGTGTATAATTAATCATCTATCTAAATCAATTGATCATGCACCTTATAATTTGGAAGATTTGACTCAATCCATACTTATCTTCATCAATTGATCTAATTGAACTATGCACGTTTATGTCACATGCAGGAATAAAGGGGTAAAATATCACCAGAGAACTGTATTTCTTCTCCTTTCTTTAAGGGGCATTTTACATATTAATTTGTGTAATTTTAATTAAAAGAATTAAAAAGTATTTTATAGTTTTTGTTAGAAGAATTACTTTTGGAAGGTGTATATTTGTATTATTTAGTGAAAGTTGCTTAAGGGTGCATTGAAAAGTGAGGAAAGGGGGGTCTGGATTGAAGGGAAGTACAATGATGATAAGTTTGAGGTAGACAAGTTAATAAATGAGGTAACCTACTAACAAAATCATAATGTTCAATTTATGACTTATAATAAAAACATCAACCATCACTCATGGATAATGGATTCTTGTCTATACAATAAGCTCTCTATGTTTTTCCATTATTATGGATTTATGAGATTCAAAGATCCAAAAATATTTCATTCTCTCTTCTTTTTTCCAAATTTCATCACAAAAACTTTGAAATAAGCATATCAAAAATTAGTTTTTCACTTTATATTAAATTTCTCTTTATTTTCTCGTACAAAAACTCGATCACACTTTGAATTCTAAAAAAATACCTATTAAATTATAATGAAACTTATAATTTGACAAAAAAAATGTAATATTTAAAAACTCCTTCACATAAAAAATGTTAAAACCTATCAATTATCGCTTTAATCTTATACTAAATTACATGTTTATTTACTTTATAAATAACACAATGTTATAGGCTCACAATTGGTTATTCTGTTTAGGTGTGAATAAACTTTCATTTTTAGCTCTTATATTTTTATGAATACTATTCTTTTTTATTACTATGAGTTTAGATTATAGAATCAAGGAAACTAAGAAAATAGTATGCATAAAACTAAAATAGATTAGATACTAAAACATATAAATTTTTTAAAATATAAAACTAAATTAATGAATAGTTTAACCCTTGTGTTTATATNCCCTCCCCCACTCCCACTACCACCACTACTACGCCCGCAGAACCCGCCTCCCTTTTCTCTTGTCCAAGAACAAGAAGAAGAAGCCCTCGCCCAATGCATCCTCCCACCTCGTTCTCAAGCGCAGCAAGTCCACCGCCACGCCCCGAACAAACCACTCCTTCCTCGACGCTCAACACGACCAGGATTTCAGTCCCAGGAAGAGACACGGCTTCTGGTCCTTTCTCTACCTCTCTTCCAAATCATCCAAGAAACTCAACTCCAAGAGCTTCAGGGACACCAACACCAACGTCAACGTCAACCACCCGCCCAGGATCTCTGCCATTAACTCCGCACCGGGAACTACTTCTCTCAAGCCCAAGGAAAACACTTCCTCTGCTTCTTCTCTCAGGACTGACATTGTTGTTCAACAGGACACCAATAACAGCAGTAACAGTCCCACTGCTCATGCCACTTCTTCTATGGAGCGTAAGGTTTCGAGATCCAGATCTGTTGGCTGTGGCAGCAGAAGCTTCTCTGGGGACTTCTTCGAGAGGATTTCTACCGGGTTCGGAGATTGCACTCTCCGGAGGGTGGAGTCTCAGCGCGAAGGCAAGCCTAAGGTGGCCGGTGGTGACGCTTCCGCCGTGAGCCGTGGCGGCGATCACCACCACCACCATTGCATGAAGGAGAGAGTGCGGTGCGGAGGATTGTTTAGTGGGTTCATGATGACATCATCTTCTTCCTCGTCTTCTTCCTCTTCTTATTGGGTGTCTTCTTCTGCTGACGACGCCGCAAATGGGAAATCAGCGACTGTGGCCCTATCTCATAACAGGGGTAGGAGTTGGGGTTGGGCTTTTGCGAGTCCCATGAGAGCTTTCGGCGGCAAACCCTCTTCTAAAGAGAGTAATAGAAGAGATATCATTAGAGATGCCAATGACAATAAGAATGCTACGCCAAACTTATCGGCCATACCCTCCTTGCTCGCCGTCAGAAGCTGAGAACAGAAGGGGCAAAGAAGAAAAGGAAAAAAAGAAAAGAGTATAAATCTGGGAGCTTTAACTTGGTTTATTATACACATTAGTACGATGTTAATGTTAATTACTGTCTATTATTACTATTACTACTTTGTTTATCTTGTGGATGAGTGTTAATTTTCCTTCATTACCAGTAATCTAATACTATTCAAGTTCCTTTTCTTTCGTGATTTGATTGTCTACATAGTTTGTGAATTGTGGTCAGCTATGGGCAGATTACGCAAATGAGAAGCCTTGGTGGCAGGGAATGGAGTGTGGTCGGGAACTTGAGAAGAAAATCTCGATGCATTTAATTCTCTGTCATCACGTGGTTTGTTTGAACTGCGACAGCACGTTGTTGTAATTCCACACTTGTGTTACGGCAAAGACGTGTAATTTTTATTTGCGAAAATCACCATTCACATGCATACACATGTTTGAAGGTGGTGGAGGCAGCAGAATACGGAGATATGCATAGATTGAGTATGAGTGTATGATATCTGTGTTGTGCAATTGAATAAGTCGTCAACTAATAATTTATGATTGTGTAGATTGAGAAAAGTTGTACCGAAGGTGATGAAAGATGGTTGGAAGAGAAAGTGGTCCATGGTAGTAGGGGATTGGAATTGAAGTAGTTACAGAGCGTGGTGGCATTTATTTGAAAGTTGTAGTGTGCACCTAATTGGCAGTGCTAGTAATTGTTTAACGCATTTATATCTGGAGTATTCCATTTGCATAGCTGTGTAGAAAGCCAGTGGTTTATCATGTGCCTAGGATAGAGCATGAAGCAGAAGCATATCATAGCTCTGAAGGACGTGTATTGGTGGTGATGTGAAGGGTTTATTATATTTCATTTGTGGGGGAATCCATCAGAAATGGACACCAAATGGAATAACTTATAAAGGGACACCTGGTCAACCAAGGAGATGCATGTCTACTGTATCTCTTTTTGTAGACAAAAATCATATAATGTTATGTAAATTGTGTAACTTTGTTGTGTATTGTAAACGGCGGTGTCAGTTACCCACAAGGGACGCCGAAGAAAGGATAATTAAGTTAAACACCAGATGACCGTTGCTGAAAATTATATTAAAACTTTGATTGAGTTTGATACAATGATGTATTATAAAAATAGGAGAGGGAGCGCAAGTGTTTTTCTTCCTTTTCTTCATCATCCTTTCTGTTTCAATATTCCTTCTTGTTTTGTTGTTTTTTCATGATTGGTCGTCTTGTTTTTAAGTGGACGATTGACTTATGGTTCTACATGCGTGTTTCTCTCTTTCATACCTTTTTGTCATACTATTTATGCAAATTGCTTCGCCATCTCTTTCAAAAGCATGTTACGAAATTATTGAAAAATTCACCTAAATCACATGAGAGTATCTAATCTTTTTAAGATCCATTTGGTGTATAAACAACACAACGACCGGACACTATTTCATTATATCCAATAGTAAATATATTTTTAATACTCTTTTTATCATTCAACGGTTATGACTCCTGATAATGTCTCAACTCGTTTGGAATCAAAATTCGATCTCACTCTCTGAAACACTTTTTAAGAATAAAATTATGACAAAATTTTAATCTTCAAAAGTCACAATACTTTAACAATGTAGTAATTGAACCTCTAATAATGTATTGATGGACTTAGGATCCCAAGAGACATCATGATAACATCTCTCATGTCCTATTGTAATTTATTCTATTATGTTACAAACAATGGTAATTTATTTAACTAATCTCAAAATAATTCATTGTGGATAAAACTTCATATACACTGAATATCTCTAACACCTACGGGCTAAAAATTATTTGTTTTTATTAAAATGTTTAGATTATTGTAATCATAAGTAGGAATATGATGTATTAAGTGTTATAATTAAAGAGTTGAAGAATTGTGTATTGATAGATAAGAGTTTGACATACCTTAAAGTAAACTTTAAAAGACTTCAGTCTACTAAAAAGTAAATTTTGTTCCTCAGAAGTTGTTCGAGAGATCTAATAATCAAACCTTTTTTACAAACAAGAAAAAAAAAATGTAGGCCGCAAAAGGCTTCTTCTTGTCGGAGAGGGAAGAAGCAGGAGGAGAAAGCTACGGTATCTCTCAAATATATAAAAAATTAAAATTTAAGGAAAGAAAAGAACATGAACCAAGAAAAACAAATGAAAAATAAGAAGAGCTTAATAGATATTACAAAGAAAATATAAAAACTACACTAAGAAAAAATAAATAAAAAAACATTTAGTCATCATTACTTTAAATATATGGACAAAAAATAACCTAAATTATATGTAATTTGGTTTTGGTTCAATTTGACTAAGAATTTGAACCAAACCGAATGAGAAAAAGTTTATATATATATATTTCTGAGTTTAAAAGTTAGGATCACATTTAAGACATGAGGATGCTTCTTTGTTAACGTTTCAACAAAAGAAAAATAAAATAAAGGAGATAGAAAATTATATTTATGAATTAACAATGACTTTTAATTAGTAAACTATGATGATGAAATGTTTTACAAAATTATAGAATTTCATCATCTAAAAAATAGTAAGAGATGAAAAATTCTCATATATATGATGATGAATGAAACGGTGTGAATTGTTTGCCGTGAAATCTCTTGATGGGACTATAAGAAAATATATGGTGAATGTTGTGTATTCAAGATCGAAATGATAAAAGAAAGGGAATAAAAGTTGGACATACATTTTGTTTGGACATGAACATAATTTGAAATAGTGTCACACAAGACACAATAGTATCATATGTGTGATGAAAGAGGGATATGCATATTTCATTCTTAAGATATAATGATCGAATTTGATGTTGACTTAACATCAAGTACCAAATTATAAAAAATTATAGTTATAAGTATCGGTTAAGTAAGGATTTAATTAGATTGAAAACAATATAATAAAAAATATATCTATTAAACTTTAACCCAGAAAGATAAGCAGAAATGAATATAGCACTTATTTCGAGTACATACGACATAATTTAACTTAAACTGTTTACCGTACTTTAACAAAACGCGTTTTTTATTTCATATTTTGGAACAACGACAACACAAGGTTACGCTACCAAGCCAATTCCTAGGTGAAATTTGGGCATATTATGGTTTCCCTTTGAAGCACTTCCTTTTTCAACTCTACTGTGGTGAGTCGAACTTGTGGTTAAGCAACATCCGTCGGAGCTCCACCGGGTCAATTTCAGGGGTGTGGTTGATGGGCCTGTAGTCACCCGTTACTGGATCCGGGGCCCAATCTGAATAGGCTTTTGCACCATCTCTCGTCATGGGCTTTTCTTCTGCGCCTCCCACGATTCCACTCCTACGCCCAATATTATTACCCAATCCAACTCTAGCCGAAACATCAGCCGCAACTGCATAACCTCGCCTACGATAATACCATCATAATACGCAGGTCACAAACAAAGGTCATATCAGAAATTCTAGTTCGACAAATAATGATAATTGAAAACATTCTTAAAAAGAATGGAACTAACCGATGAAAAGGAAATAGTGAGATAGATTGAGGAAGAAGGAGACGTAGAGATTTGGCTTGCGAGAGAGAAGGAGACATGTTATATGATATGAGTTATTTATTTATGAGTTTGCTGCTGCGAAAACCCTAATGTTTTTGGAACAAATGAAGCTTTCGCAGCAGCAGCCTAGCACACCTTTCTTTGAGTCTTCTTCTCTGTCTGTGTCTGTGTTTAGGGTTTTTGGGTCCTTTTAAAGAAGACAGATATTACAGTGATGGTACGTATCGGGGTGTCATTGGATGTGGAAGGAACCAAGTGTAACTATTTGGTAGGAACACCTAGTCCAAGGTCTTATGGTCATGACACGTCTTGCTTCATGCATGCAATATCGTCAAATGCTAATCAATTAAAAATCTTTTATACTAATTTTTAACAAAACCATATTTCAACTTCATTAGCAGTTTAATTTTTTTATTACGGATGTATCCAAATAAAAATTGTTAAATGGGATTTTTAATTATAATATTGTGATTATCATTAATTTAGCAGAAGAAGTTATATTGATTCAATTTTATAAAAGTGATAACAAATTAAAAACATCAAAATAGTGATATAAATTGAAAAAACTATCATAATATTGAGATTAAAAAATCTATTTAATATAAAATTTTAAAACACACGTTTTAACATGCTTTTTAACAATACAATGCATATATATAATTAAAACGTTAAAAAAAATATCTACACATTGTGGAACAACTTTAAGGAAACCTCCTTTTAACCTAACAAAGTGCTAGTCACTATGGATTTTATGAAAAGGGAACTAAACAATAAAACTATGTAGAATTATGTACAGTATGTACTTAATAATATGATATTTAAACAATATATTAAATTCAAGATTTATGAATTTTAAAAGTACATAAATAGAAGAGATCGTAGAAGAATTGACTATATAGATAGTTCACAAAGTTACATCAACAAAGTTATAGATAATTTACACTATCGGTATAGTGATAAAAGAAAATAATAGAATCGAGCAAAAAGATTACTTAATCACTTTTTTTTTAATAAATATCAAATAGGTTACTTATTCAATAAATATAATAAAAACTAATTGAAGCAGGTTAATTTCTAAATAATAAAAATAAAATCTTCATCACCAAGTTAATTATGTGAATATTTTATTCATTCTTTGCCAACATACCCGCTTCGGACAACAGGTGGGCTTATCATATGATTTATTTTGGATTAAATACTCTAAAAATTCAACGTAACCATGATAAGGATGGATGGTAATTATTTAAAATAAACTCATGCCACCTGTACGATTGTGACATGTTTCTTATTCTGGTACACGCGTTTAGCATCTA